AAAAAAGCCCCACAAAATCATGACAATCGAGTTGGTTACTGTATTTGTGTGTCACAGTCTGTGTTTTGGGGAAATAACAGAAATAGTTGATTATTAATTTAAATCACACACCAGAAATGAGACTAAAAATCAGGCTGGAGGGCGACAAAAACAGTCCACCGTGGACATCACCCAAAATCAAAGTATAAGCAGCCCTGACTGGATTAAAGGGGGGATTATCACAGCAGGACTCTGGGCAACTGGATGGAGAAGATCAACGGATAGTTTTGACTGGGCTCTTAAAATTGCTGGCGGCCTGAAGCTGCAGCTGGTAAGCCATAGGGTGGATCTTGAATCCATAGAGTCTGAAACAGAAAAGCATAAGGGTTAAAATGACAATGGGAAGGCAGTGTGGAAAGCCCTGTTCAAATGGCTACCAAATATTTTTGCTAAAATGTTGGATTCCAAAATTAATGCCTATTAATAACATATCAGTGACAGTCGGGAATGCTAGATCCTTCTAAGAAAAGTCTTAGACCTGGATATAAGGAGCAGGAGAGTCTCATACTGTATCTACATATCTTCTGGAGGGAAAGGTTGGCAAAGGAGTTCTTAGGACAGCAAAACAAACAAACAAAGTAGAGCATCATTCTGTAATTCTACTGTCTAGATAGCTGGAGATCAAGATGTGAAAAAAATTAAGCCCTGCTCCATCTTAAGAGCAAGGATAGCCAAAATTCCACATCTATAAACAGGGACATGGGCCAAGTAAAAGTGTGGATTGTGCTGTCTCAAGGCATGCTTAGAAAATATGGTAATTAACTCTATGCAAATCCCTTACATCTGAATTACATGAAATGATATGCTTTCCAACATGCCCAAGGCTGCATAAGCTTCAGGGCAAGTCAACAGTTCAGAGGCAGCACACACCATCCTAAAAGATGTTTCACTGAGCCCCACCTGCATCAATCTATATTCAGTGTTCCCTCGCTACTTCACAGTTCGCTTTTAGCGGATTTGCTGTTTTGCAGTTTTCAAAAAATATTAATTTAAAATCTATATGCTGTATTTTCGCTGTTTCACAGGTTTTTGCCGCCACTGCTCTCCGAAGCACTTTCCCTCCTCAGTTCTCACTCCCTCCCTCCAGCCTTGAAGGGCCTTTCCTTCATTTTATTTTAAGTTTATAAAGACTTAAAATAGTGTATGACTACTAAAATAATGTAGAAATATCAAAATAAATATAGCGTCCCTATATTGCAGTTTTTCACTTATTGCAGGAGGTCTTGGAACATAAACCCCACAATAAGTGAGGGAACACTGTAAATAAAAATGTAATATTCATTTGTGGGATTAACATGGACGAATTGACACCAAATTCGGACATAATACCAACGAGTGACCATCACTTATAAAAACACTGCAAAACACAGCAGAAGAGACTTTAAAAGCCAAAAATTAAAAAAAAAATACAACACATGCACAAAACCACATATATATATACGTAAACACACGTATATACACATATACACAAACATATACACAAAGCACATATACACAGACTGGACAGCAGCAATGTGTGGCAGGGGACGGCTAGTTTCAAATAAATTCTAAGGTTGCATCTACACTGTGAAATTAACAAGTTTTTATACTATTTAAACTACCAAGGTTCAATGCTGGGAACTGTACTTTTACAAGGTATTTAGCCTTCTGTGCCAAAGAGTGTTGGTGCCTCACCAAACTATAGGCGCCTCAAGTGGTGCAATGGGCTAAACCCTTGTGCCAGCAGGACTGCTGACCAAAAGACTGGTGGTTTGAATGTGAGGAGTGGGGTGAGCTATCTGACAGTTCCAGCTTCTCATTCGGGGACATGAGAGAAGCCTCCCACAGAATGGTAAAACATCCAGACGTCCCCTAGGCAAGATCCTTGCAGACGGCCAATTCTCTCACACCAGAAGCAACTTGCAGTTTCTCAAGTCGCTCTTGACATTAAATAAACAAACAAACAAGCTGTAAATCCCAAGATTCCAGAGCATTAAACCATGGCAGTTAAAGTGATATCAAACTACATTCATTCTACAGTGTAGATCCCTTTCAACCTTCTCACTAAACGAAGGTGGATACTGGAAGTTTACACACAGGTGCAGCAACCTCTACAGGCATCTTTGAATTTGAAATATTAAAAGAGAAATGAATGAATTGGCTGAAAGTGGCCCAGTGAAAAGACAAACCTGCTTTCAAGCGTCCTTTCATCATTTTTATTTTTCTCTTCCAATCTTTTTGAATAAAAGGCAACAAGATGCCACACACAAATCTAACCTTCCTCAAACTTATTAAATAGCCAAAAACATCATACTAAAAAACTAAGAGATTGTGATTGGGATTTAGCACTTTTTTGAAAGCCAACAGAGAAAAACCAATCAGAACCTTGGATACACTATATTACACAATCTGGAAAGCAAGGAAAGAAAACCCCTCCAGCATGTTGTGCGAATGACTCTTGAAAAACAATGGTATACCTTTCCTGCTCTTAAGAATCAAATAGCCTTATAATTAGGCAGCTGGTCTCTTATACAAACCTAATACAAGTTAAACTCTGGCACTGAATCCAGTAAATAACTGACCACAAGTGCAGCTCCTTCAGGACTGCTGTAAGAGGGATTCAACATTTTTCACCAGTCAGCAGTCTCAATCATTTTGCATCAACTAAAACTTCTCTGAGGTCCCTTCCACACAGCCATATAACCCAGAATATCAAAACAGAAAATTCCACAATATCTGCTTTGAACTGGGTTATCTGTGTCCACACTGCCATATACTCCAGTTCAAAGCAGATAATATGGGATTTTATTCAGCTGTGTGGAAATAGTCCAAAAACAATACAAAAGTGGTCCTTGGTCATGTTTTACAGCAGGAAAGAAAAACCTAAACCTCTAATAACTGTCTTCTGGATCATGTACAAATAACATTGCTTGGAAAGTTCTTACCTGGGCACAAACTGGTTGGCTGGCCGCTTCGGCCGATACTCGGGGTGCACCATGAACAACATGTGAGGGAAGCCAGTCCCAAAATAGGCCCCATCTGTATGATGGTGGCGGGAAGACTTGGGGGTATAGACATCCATGCACTTAGGGCAGTACAGTTTGACCATAGCTTCACCTGGGATATCAGATAAGCCTAAGAGTGA